AAATAATTATAATATTTTTTTAATATAAATTTAATAATATTTATTAATTATAATATTAAAAACTTAATTTATAATAATTTATATATATTATAATATATATTAATTAAGCTTATAATTTATTAAAATATAAAATATATATTATTATATTATATTTAATTTATTTTTTAATTTAATAATTGAAAGTAATAGTTATTATAAATATTAATATTAAATTACTTTTATTTTATTCTTATATAATTAACTTATTTTTTTAAATATAATATACCCTTTTATAATAGTTATTAGAATATTTGGCACTTAAAATAACTTGTATTTGTATAGATTTGCCATGTATACCTATATACCGCTGATCCACTTGACTAATTTTTGGTGTTTCCGATTGGTTCCCCGTAAGCGAGATTGAGGTGGTTACAGTTTGGCAGTCAAGGAGATAGCACACGGCAACCGCGGCCATCTCTTATCCTTTCTCTCCCGCGCCAACCATGGAGGCTTCGCGTCAGCCAGGTCAAGACAATGATTCTCACGCGGCCACCCTCACTCCGCGTGCGGTGGCGTGCGGCATCTTGCTGGGCATCGTCGTGTGCCTTGCAAATATATATTTTGGCCTGCAAGCGGGCATGGTCAGCCCTATGCCAATGCAGAGTGCCCTGCTCGGGTTTGCCATCTTTCAGAGCATACGCCCACGCCTCTCGAAGGCCCTGACGCCAATGGAGACAACCCTCATTGAGGTTATCGCTGGATCTCTCGGCCTCGCACCCTTCACCTTGGGGCTCACGTCATTCATCCCCGCCCTTGAGTTTCTCACCAAACCAGAAGAGAATGGCCCGTTCAAATTCACCAATGGCCAACTTCTGCTCTGGGCCATGGCTACATGTGGGCTGGGGATCATTGCCGCTGTACCCTTCCGAAGACTGCTCATCTTGAGAGAAAGCCTCCCTTATCCATCAGCTACTGCCACCGGAGCACTTATCGGCATTCTATTCAAACGACCAGATATCATTGCTCGAGCTAAGCAGACGCAGATGCGCCCCCGTGCATCGCGAGTCTCAGACATCAACAATGTGTATAGTGAGAGGGATGAGGCAGACCCTGGCGGCGACACTGAACGCCTCCTCGACGAGAACTCTCGGCGCGAAGAAGAGGAAGGCTTAGGCCGGGATACGAATCGGCCTGCCCTCCGGATGCTGCTGTATGCGTTGGCCGCTTCTTTATCTTTTGTCAGTTCATCCCAACTCTGCTGAATTCGCCTTTCTCACACAGAGCATAGAGCTTCATTGCCTACTTCTTACCTATTCTCCACCGCGTGCCCATCTTTGGCCTCCACGCTGCCAGTCACTGGATGTGGGCGTTCGACCTATCTCCTGCCTATATCGGCTATGGTGTCATTATTGGACCTAGTATCAACGCCTACGTCCTTATTGGAGCAATTGTTGGTTGGGGTATTTTATCTCCGGTGGCCAAGCATCGTGGATGGGCCCCTGGCCCGATCACCGACTTTGAAAATGGCCCACGCGGGTGGATTCTTTGTGTCGGATTAGGATTCATTCTGGGGGACACCATCGTTGCGGTAGGATGGATCTGCTCCAAGCCATTCATATGTCGTGCTCGTCGATGGGTCAGCAACATTGTACAGCGAAAACAGCTCTCCTCGAGTCACGGCCAAAGAGACGGCACAGAAACGCCGCTGTTGCGCGAGTCGCCCAGCTCTGTCAACACAGCAAATGAGACTGCCATGGCACAAGATGATGGATGGCCAAAATCGTGTCTCATTACAACACGTCTAGTGGGTTGGATTGGTGCCGCCCTACTTCTGCTCTACTTCATTTCCATACCAACAGCCTTTGGCCACCTGACGTCTGTCCCTGCTACGCTGCTAGCCGCCTTATTGATACCCTTAGCGGGCTTCATATCAATGAGGTCCATGGGAGAGACTGATAATGGTGCATCAGTTGCTATTGGTAAGACAGTGTCCTGTCCCATTGTCGAACATTCATAGCATAGAATTAATCCAAAGCTGCAGGTCGATTCGCTCAGTTCGCTATTGCCCGGCTATTCTCTTTCTCCGGTCCCAAATTCACTTCAGCTAACCTTCTTCTCGGCGGGGCCATTGAATCCGGTGCGTCCCAGGCTGCGCAGCAGATGGGAAACCTCAAGATAGCTTCCATAACGCAAATAGCCCCACGAGCAGTCATTTTTGCGCAAATGATCGGATCTTATGTCGGCGCATTCATTGCGATTTTCTTCTACAAGATATATTCCTCCCTCGACAAGATACCGAGCGAGGAGTTTAGCATACCTGATGCACACCTGTACATCACCACATCTCGCTTTATCCGTTGGCAGGGTCTTCCACCTGGGCTAACGGGCTTTCTGATGGGTTCATTCGCCCTCGGTGCAGTCTTTAGCGTGTTGAGGATCTTGAGCTTGAAGCACTGGTGGCGTTGCCTGGTCCCTTCTGGCATAGCTATAGCAATTGGTGAGTAAACCTTTGCACCTCTTCATTGTTTAAGGGTTCTGGTCACTGAAACTCTACCAAGGAATGTATATTGTTCCAGGAATCACTCTTCCACGAGCGCTTGGAGGCCTTATATCTATCACAGCGACACGACGATATGGTCTGGACAACTTTACCATGCTTTGTTGCGCAACGGGCCTGATTCTTGGTCAGGGTCTATTTAGTCCCCTTTCTCTACTGTTCGACGCTCTTCACGTACCAAATTTTGGGGTTTGACCCTAGTAGCTGAGTCAAGAAATCTGCATAGAGAGACAGGAGGGGGGGAGGAATAACAGCGGATTAAAAACTGAAGCTGGAGAGCATTTTTGGGGTAGGTCCAGGTTACAAGCTTGGACGGGCTTACTGCAAGGTGGCCCTGAAGCCAAAGATGGCAGCATTAGTTACGTGGTCGCACTTCAAGCCGTGACTTTATACTTTGCGGGGAAAATACAGTCAGATTGAGGTGCCAAACCAGTAGTCTTGATGCCCGTGAGGCCCGTGAGGTTACAGAGATGGCCAGCGCCGCGGCAGCGATCATCCTGACCGACAATCGGTCAATGGCATGACCATGATCCCTGGCTAACGGACCTGTGTGATTCACCGCCCCAGTATACAGAATCATTTGTTACTTTGTCGAGGGTATCTAGCTTGTGAACACTTTTTTCTTCGTAATATAATTGTTGGAAGCGCAAGGCTTCTATTCGGGTGATAATTATCACGCGGTTTGGGGTACTCGTAACTGGTTGATTGATGCTTGTTAAATTCATCTAGCCATGGATAACATACGCCTGTGTTGGTGTTGAGGCCTCCTCACGTGAGGTCTGTTTCAGCCACCGTTTGAAGCCATTCGCAGGCTCTGCTGGCTCCGCCGCCAGAGACGGCGGTGGAAGCAACAATAATAGAAAAAAAATATAGATCCAGTAAATGGCAATGCAACTGCAAAGTAAATCCATATTGAAGGGTTCTTCTCAAATACATTTACATTCATGCCGAAGAATGTAGATACAAACCCCAGCGGAATGAAAATAAATGCCAGCGTCGTTAAATTCGTGATTTTTTGGGTTTGACCAAAGTTTTCGCGCGCTTCGCTAACGTTTATGGTGTCTGAGAGTACCTGACTGACTGATTCGCAGCGATGTGATAATTCCGAGCAGCGTCGTATGAGGTACTGAGTATCCAGGAGGAGTGTTGATGCCAATTCTGCGCCCAGGGTTGCTTCTTGATATTCTTGATGCCCTGGCCAAGTTCGAGAGCCGTGCCATTCAATCAAGTAGGCATTGTCTTTCAAAGATTGCTCCGCGTGAGCTAGAAAATCCAGATTAAATCTCAGTTGCTCTAGTGCCGAGCCAAGGGCCTCTGTTGTCGGCGAGGGACCAGGTATCTTGCACTTGTCGATATCAGAGTCGATAAAGTTGAGTATCTGAGCCCAACCTGCAGCCGCTCTGCCCAGTAAGCTTGCGAGAACCGCAAAGGGACTTTCGCGCAAGAGATCCAGGTCCTTATCGCTGGCTACCCTCACATGATCCCTGGGATGAAAAGGGTTGGGCGTTGAAGGACTCATTTCGCGGGCTGTGCTTTGGATCTCGTAACCCGACGGGCTCTCGTTGTATGAAAGAATCGGAAGAAAATCTGGAGCCTGCCTGTTTCGAGTGTATTTTGACCACGGGGTGTCCTGCGTCTCTGGCACGCCAAGACCTTGGTCGACCAAAAAGATGCCTACGTTGCTATCAGATTTCTGTCCCAGCTGGGGGAGAAGAAAGAAAGAAAGAAAGGCGCGTCCACTTACCGACCCAGCTGTTTGGGGTTCTGGTGCAGACAGTGAATGAAACGAGCTGTTCGATGCTGAAATACTGTGAGCTATGCAGATGTAGCTTGCGTAGTCTAGTCGCTCCGAATTTCTTGTTCTGAAACAGATGCCGGTCCCATTCCTCGAGCTTCTGCTGCGCTTGGAGCCGCTCAATTGCGGAAACGTGTGTAGCGTACGAGGACCCAGTTCGCCTCCCGAGGAAAGGAATCAAAACTTGGACGATATTGCCTCGTCGAGATGGTAGGGCTGGAAGTTCGAAAAACTTATCGTGGGTCGGGCTTTGTCGGCCGAGGCTCAAATGACCCAACCAATATTCTGGCCGCAAACCATATTTGCTGCCTAGGTAGGCGACACAGCTGGGAGAGGGCAGTCCTTCAATTGTGATCAGACATGGTGCTTGCGTTTGAGTTACATTCTTTTCCGGAATATCAAGCCCCCAAGGCTGCGTGGCCGGAGCATAGGTTTGATGTATTAGATCGGACGAGGCACGAAGCCGTATGGCGCTGGGGACAGGATTCATGCGGGATTCGCTTGTAGAGTCGGATTGCAAATAGTCAATGAGCTGGTAGAAATAGGGGCCGATAACGCTGTCCTTGGAGAAACAAGACTTGATCACCTGGACATATTCTTCAACGTAGGAAGCAGAACTTCCCCCGGAAGATACGATAGTAGGCGCGTTTGATTGCATTCTGCCGGATTGTCAAGAGCTTTAAGTCCTTAGGTAATCTATGAGGAAGAGAGGAGCGCTACACAGTTCGAGCAGCTGGTAGGACGGAAGACAGGCGCTATGCCAGTGACTGTATTGCTTCTGGCCCTCTCTTTGGGGCTGAATACCTCAGCCTCACTGAGGCTCTTCTGGAGACACTTGCTGCCTAGGGCGTCAGGCAAGGACAAGAGCATACATAGCTCTGCTTTCAGCCGCCCCCAACGCTACAGCAGTGTGTAGTAGATGGTACCCTGGCGTACCGCATGTCAGGTAACATGGCCCCATCCACACACCTCATTGTAACATACATGAAGCGGCCCGATGAAGCGGGGGGCTAGGCTCTGGATCCGAGGGGTAGGCAGCCTTCCTCGCTACTAAATCTATAATAGCCTGGTGACGTTTCGTATCTTCCACCCTCAAACTCGACCTCAAGCACCTCACTCCAAGTAACAGAGTTCTTAGCTCATCCTAAGTACAACATCGACACTACCATCTCCAGCCGCGCGCTTTACAACATCTCCAGTACGTCCCAGAAACTACTTCTCACACCCAGCTAAGCTTATATCTTATATATTCTAGATCATGGCTGAATCCAGTTCGCCCGTCCAGACTTGGAAGGAGCTACGAGATCAGATCAAGGCTGCCGACAGAGCCGCAAGCGCCGCTAGTAGTGGGGATTCCAAGGCACAGGAAAGACCGTTCCTGGTTGCCGAGGGAGCCGGGAACCCATACCCTGCTACTCCAGGCATGAGAATCAATGGAGGCTGGGATGGACCCATCACTGAGCCCCATAGAGTCCGAGAGCGTGAGGTTGGCGGAACGTAAAGCTACGGGGCCGTGCCTATTCGCCGATTCTGCCTTGCCTGCATCACAGTGTGCGAGAGACTCCAGGAGTAGACTCTTTGTAAATCAGTTTGACTAGGTAGAAAGCACAAAGATTCAACTGTCCTGCCTCGATAACTACGTTACCAGTACTTGTCATCGACCATTCTGTTTATAACTCAGCTTGATTCATCCGACGTACTATCGCACCGTGCGATTCACTACTCGGTTGTACTATGCGATGTCTTACCATCATCGCCAGTTGCAAAAGTCTCGCGACCTGTCTGGACTTCGGTCGGCCACTTGGCACTGTTTAACGCCGCCTCGGCCAAATTGATGAGCATCAGATCACTGCCCTTGGCCCCCATGAAGCTGCTAACAATTGGAAGATGCTCTTCCAATCCACTGATGCGCGAGTTGTACGGCTTCTGTCCGACTTTTGAATCAATGTCAGCTAGAATGCTAAAAGATGTTTGTGAAGGCATCGATCACATACTGGGGATTATGAGCGTTGGCAGCTGAAGTACTGCTGGCAGATAGAAGACCGAGAACGACCCGACGATACTAGGAAGCCTTTTATTGGTTAGGAAGAACATGTTCCAGAGGCAAGGGTGAGGGTCGAGGACGTACTTATTTGAGTCGTCGCGGTACTTTGGACTCGCAGAGCCAAAGGGCATGACCATCACAGCATCGGTAACAGTGTCGCTATGCTGCCCCATGATGTTAGTTTCAAACCAAGTCCTGAAAGTCTTCATTTCGGCTACGCCCTGGGCGCGCTCTTCCTTCGTAAATGGAACAGCAATGCTCCTAGGTTAAGATTAACTCTGCCGTTCGCCTCATCGTTGCAGCTCGATTCTGATATTTACCATCGTTTGCGCATGTAAGGTCCCACAAATGCCTCCTTTCCGAATTTCGCAAGGTAGTCGGCACGGAATGCGTCGAAGGTGTGGTATGTATCATAATACATGGGCCAAACTGCGCTCTGTTCAAAAGTTAGTCCAAGGCAACCTACGAGATTGAATTGAAGCAAAGGACAGTTACCATCTCTAGAAACTGTTGCAGCGACTTCCCCTGGGCTTCCTCGGGAGGATTTGATGCCCATGTATCCGTGATACTGATGGGAGTGCGCTCGATACCAAGAAAACTCTCCACGATCGTAATGAAGGACTCGGTCATGGCTTGTTGATCGGCATCTGCCTGCGGAAAAAAGTCCAGAGGATAAAGCAACCGTTTCGGAAACTTGGAGAGTTAGATGTGCAAGATGCATCGACAGGGTAGACGACTCACCTGAGACGAGTCGGGAACATCCAAAGTTGCTGCGGTCAGATGCTTGGCATCCTTCAGGCTTCTGTGGAGCGTCCCTACTGTATCGAATTCACTTTGAACCAAGGTTAGACTCATCGATTGCCTGGGAATGGACCTAGTGCGCATACTTGCAGCTCGGGACAATGCCCTGGCGTGAGGTGACACCATAGGAAGTCCTGAGGCCGAAAAGGCCATTGAAAGCCGCAGGAAGGCGTATACTACCTGAGGCTATGGAGCAGTAAGCAGGAGCAAATGGGATTTGCCGGAAAATTGGTATTTACTGTCCGTTCCAATCGAATGGTCGAGCCAAGAGTAGCCTGCAAGAGATGCACCGGCGCCAGTAGAACTGCACGAGGGAGTCTGATACTGGTCACCCCTGGGGTTGAATGGGCAGTGGTAGTCGATCCACTGATCAGTTGGCTCCTCTGCGGATGCAAAGGCAGACATCTTGGTCTTGCCTACGATGACAGCACCCAGTCCAATCAGCTTCTTGACATAGTCTGCACTGGACGTACGCGCTGGGTATAGCTCGTTGTAGGCTCGATTCATCATGGTGGTTCGGATTCCGCTCAAGTCGTAGTTGTCTTTGATGCTGATACGGGCACCAGCGAGTGGCTTCTCTTTGCTCGGGCTTGAGTAAAGTCGACTTGGTACGGCGACGCTTCGAAAGGAACCTTGCTGCGACACCGCTTGCAGCACGGAGAAACTGAGTTGGAGAATTCTATTAGTACCGCGTAGCTGGCGTGAGTAGACTTGAATGGGCTGACCTGGTCGGATTGATAACATCGTCTGGAATGGTAGGGATGACAAAGGCATCCAGGTGGTCATTATAGAGCTTCCAGGCCTGATGGATTGAGTTGCCGCGGATAAAGTAGGGTCCCGGGGGGAGGAGCCCAAGAGTATGAGTCGGGTCGTTGGTGTAGGTGGTGAAGCTGCTTTGGGCAAGTTGGGCAGCAACATCACTCACATCCTCGTTCTTCTTGGGCTGCAGCACGAGTGTTGAGATGAAATCGTCAGAGAAAACATCGTCCCGTTGGCGAAAGTCGTTTATCGCCTTTTCGGCATCTTGTGGACCGAATCCAGCATGGACAGACAGCAAAACGGCGGGCGTCCAGAGCTCATCGCCTGTAGCAGTCTCAACGAGGCGACCCTACGCGACAAAAGGAGTACATTGGTTAGCCAAAGACTGTATAGTGCCACCTTGGCGAAGTAGACCTACCACTTCTTGGGGATGAACATAGTACGAGCCTCTACTGAGAGCCCACATCGCCGGATGGGTCATTTTCAGTGGATGCAGATTTGGTTGTAAGCTGCCAGACTGCCTGAAGAAGGAGGATGAAGCAAGGTGGGGATGATTTGCAAGGTTTTTTAGACCAAACATCCCTTAGGCTCGGGCCGTTCTTCCCCGGAAAGGGTTAGATATGTTTGTCTACCGTTGCCAGTCATATCAGATGGCCACTAAAGCACACTGTCACACCTGTGACCACTAGCCGCAACGCGCTTTCTAGGGGGATGGTGGGGGTTGGAATGTCCACCATGAATTGAAGATTGTGCACTAGAAGACCACTAGGCACTATCAATCTACTAAAGTATTTGATACCAAGTAGCCCCTAAACTGAATTTATCCACAGAGGTAGGTACAATATAGCGCAGGCTCAGATTTCCCAGCGCCATCACAACGCAGCAACTTTGATTACTGCCAACATTGAACGCATCAGTGGCCTTGTATGCGCTGCAGCTGGATGACGGGCGCCATAGCCGGGTGGCAAGGCGCTGAAGATGCGAGGCATCATTGCGGCGGAGATGGTGGAAGGTGACCCTCGTCTGCTTACATGTAATTGGGGTTACTTTGTAGGTACACATTTGAAATCCATCGTGGACCTTCCAGGCTCCCTTTCTTGATCCTTGAAAGCCTCGCTGCAACGCTACATGGTCGTGGGGGTGCCAAATGATGCCGGGGTGTGACAGCTGTATTGTGATAACACTCAGCCTCACAATTTTATTCGATCTGGTCAAACCCATCCGCTGATGATGTCTGCCGACTGCTACAGTACACTGTGCCAAGACTCACCCTCAGCCTCTAATTTGCTCTCCTCATTGACGACTGCCTCACTTCTGTACTTTACATGCTGCATGCAGGTAGGAGCCTGTATGATTGTTGGTACTTTTGCTCAAAGATGCAGTAGTAACGCCCAGCCTTGTTCTGCAACATCCCGGATCCAGCGACTGGCGTAATGAAGGTGTGGCAAGGGAAACATGACTTCTCTTTCTTCCGAGGAAGGGCATTCAGGCTGGACCTTTCCACCCCACTGCTATCGACACGTGCCGTCATCGAGGTAACCGATCTGCAGTGCCCAGCTGTTTGAATAAGAATTCGGCATGTGATGTTTGCTTACTTTGGGACGTTGGACTCCTTCTTCTCATTCTGAAAGTCTGTCTTGTTTCCATCTTCTAGCAATAATAGTATCCCATCAGCCAGCTTTCGTTACCTGAAAGTTTCGCAATGATGGACAAGATAACTTCCAACATCTACCATCTGGATCGTGCCAAACTGTATGAAACAGAGAAGCCTTTCAATTGGTCCGCCGAGCTCGCCTGCCTGCCTGGTCTCCCGGGTTCCAATCATGTCTTCACATCCCAAACCGTCAACATCAACAATGTCCGTGGATGCACCCCTCCTAGCCTTGATACCCAAGGCTTTGAGTTTGTCAAATCGACTACGTCGCTGAAGCCCGAAGACTTTGACAATGACAACCTAATTCAAACCACCTTCTACTCCGAAATTGAGAAAGTGTTATTTGAACAACTTCCAGATGTCACTGCCGTCGCATTTCTCGGTCATCAAGTTCGCACTCTAAACTCACAGAGCACTGAGGCAGAGCACTGCTTACATCTTTTACTAGGTCCGGAAGCGCAGTACCAAATTTCCGCGGGAAGAGGGTGCTCTGGTTCCTGCTGCCCAGCCGCAAACAATGGCACACGTCGATCTCACAATGCAAGGAGGCAAGGATCGTCTACAGGTCTATTTCAAAGACAACCCGGAGCTAGAAAAGAGGCCATGGCAGATGCTCAAGTACGTACGAACCGTCTGAAAGGCACTTGAATGGTACTTTATCTGACTCAATGGCCAAACAGCGTGTGGCGCGTCCTGAAAGGTCCCAGCAATGATTGGCCATTGGCGCTCTGTGACTACCGCAGTGTGGACGTTGAGCACGACACTGTGGCGAATGACATAGTTGTTGCGCATGGCGATGGCTACATTGAGAACTCGTTGCTCTACTTCAACGAGAAACATCAGTGGTTTTATAAGAGCGATATGGATGTTGACGATCTCATTATATTCCGACAGACAGACTCCAGTGGAGCGAAGCCCAGTGAGAAACAACTTGATCCCCATTTCTTCCCTTTTCCTCTTTCTTGATTTTTTTTTTTTATCCGAAGCCACTAATACCTTCATCCATAGGAGCCTGGCATGCATCATTCGAGCACCTGTCACCGAGTGGAATCTCAGCTATGCTACGAGAAAGTGTTGAGCTGCGACTGGTAGTTTGGAATTGAGTTCGTATGTCAGGAAGCCAGTCTGGGCGGGAAACTGCTGGATAAGTCGACTTACTCTTTAGCCAACACCATCACTATGAGTCTTCGAGGGCTATTGTGCGTTTCAACAGGCATGATCAATCTAGCGAGTATCATTGGTTGGCATCAAGATTGGGAACATTGTAATAATACACTGAAGCATTCAGTGCGTAGATACCAGCGGGAGCATGTCATACCGTGTTTGTCAGCGCTACGGCCAACTTGGCTGGCACGTTTTTCTAGTCCCAAGCGTGATTGCCAGCTCGCTGACCTTGGCCGACAATCTTAACACGAGCCCGGTCGATGATGGAGGACTGACCTCGCGTGCTCATACCGGCGGCCGCACGAGACACCGGCGCAGGACCGTAAGGGCGATATCCGTAAGTATGAGGCCACAAGGCCTCGCGTACAAGTACCCTAGTGTTTCGCATAAAATCTCAGATACCCAGCTTCATAATGCAATCACATAATATATTGCGATACACGAGAGTCCTTACTACCATATCCATGAAGGCCGTTATTTCTCGGCGCAGTATGCCGTGTTCACCTCGACCAGCAGTTTATCAAAGAGTCAAACTCCGAGACACCTGAGGCTGGAGACCATTCAGCGTCCCCAACAACCTTCTTCCGCATTTCTTCCGCCTTCTCGATAAGCAGACGGCCATTTGCAATCTCGCCTGCGTCCTGATATACGCATCCCAACATAAAAGTCGACCTTGCTGTTTCATTCAAAAACGCACCACCGCTCTCAAATACCTGTAAAGCGTCTCGTAAGTTGGTTCTAGTGTCATAGTCAGCCCCGCCGTTCCGCCAAATAGCCCAGTTCAACTCACATGGAGCCGCTGTAGTCGTGTTTTCTACGTAGATGACACCCGATCTTGTAAAGCGTATTGCCTGTCTTGTGATGTCCGTCTCCTAAGGTTGCGCGAAACAGCTTCAGAGTTTGCACGTGCGTTGCTAATGCCGCATCAAGCATGTTGTTTCCTTCGTCGAAGCGCTCCTCATCTAGGAGACGCACGCCTAGACTGGTTTCGACGTTGCCGAGTGCAAACATGGCATGTGCCGTCCTGTATCAGTTAGCCCGTTGTGAACTGCCACACTGACGCCAGGCAAACCTACCGATAGGTAGTCGTGTCGTTTCTGTCGGTGATGATTCTGTTGAGGAGCTCAAAAGCCTCTTCGTGCCTTCCCTGTATCCAAAGACAAATTGCAAAGTTGTGCTCCAGGATTGACATTTTGGAAAGGATCCCGGGCATCCCTTCGAACGCTTCAAGAGCTTTACGATAGTATGCCTCTGCCTCAGTGTAGCGATGCAGGCCTTGAAGCGCGTTAGCCACGCCCCCCAGTGAAAAGACTTCTTGCATGTGGGGTCGTTTCATGACGCCTGCTTCTATGGCCTCGTAGACGAAATCCAGTTCCCTTGTGAAGCTCTCATAGGCCTGCTGAGGCTGATTGGTCTCTGTTTGCAGCGATGCGCGAGCCCGACAGATCTCTGCAAGGATTACCAGCATGCCCGTACGGTCTTCAGCTTGCGTCGCAATCATTTCGGATACATCTAGTAGTTCATAGGCGGGTTGAAAAGTCCCCCTTTCATACAAGTACCTGGAGAAGTTAGTATATAGTTTCTATAGAAGGACGCAACTTACCATGCTGCATCATGAAGTAGTTTCGAGAACTTGGCTGCGTCTACTTCAAGGGGGTTCTTGTGCTGTGAAGACTCCACGGTTTTCGCAAGTATTTGAACGTGAGCGAGGCATCCTTCTTGCGCAGCCCAATAACTCCGGTCATGACGACCTGTGATCGGAGCTACCGGGAATGCTTTGTGGACCATGCTAAAGGCACTTTCAAAGGCCTTCTGGCGAGTCTCGGGGCTGGTTTTCAGCATGCGCAACTGGCAGGTCGATTGCACCAGTCGATGCATCCAATTGATTGAAAGTTCGGCATTCTCGTAGAGTAGCGAGCTTTTCAAAAGAAATCCCCTCGCCTTGATCAACTGCCTTCGCGTCTTAAAGACTTCGTGATGCTGTTGTGCAATGTCACCGACGCTTCCTGTCAATAAATCGAACTGAATTTTGTCGGGATCCAAGAAGGACAGTATATTGAGAAGATCTTGTTGAGGCCTATCAAGATTTTCGTAATTCATACTCAACACCGTTTCAAGGGAGTAGGAATATTGGGATAGCGTCCCAGTGACAGTTTGTCCGTATTCGGAGTCCTCGATGAGCTGCGCGAAATTGTCGTATGATGATTCCAGGTCCCTGAGTGAGCAGCAATCTTCAATGGCAATGCTAGCCAGCTGCGTAATTGCCAACGGTAAGCAACCAACCACCTCAACAAGGTTAGCAGCGGCTTGCATCTCCCTCTCGGGATAGATAGCCGCTGCTTTTCGACCACCACGGTTCGTGAGAATCATAAGAAGTTCGATGGCATCTTCCGGGAGGAGCTGAGTAAGACTCTGCCCCGAAAACTCGCCAAGAAGGCTCTTATCTCTGGACGTGATCAGAATCGAACCTGTGTCACCTCCTGGCCAGAATTCTGCCAGTAGCGCTTTGTTATCGACGCTATCGGCATTGTCGAAGATGATCAGGTAAGGTATTTCTGCGACGTCATTAGCAAGTGGTAGCCACTCCCGCCATTGAGGTTACCTACGGGAAGTCTCAAACCATTCTTTCACAATATCCTTGGCTTTGTTTTGGTCATCATTCGTAGACTCGACCAAGCCTATCTCCACTGCAAAAGCAATATGCCTTGCGAGCATCTTCTCCCGGCTGTCTGAAGGAATCCATAAAACAACCTCAAACTTCGACAGGCTACTAAACGCATACTTCAGAGCGATCTGCGTTTTGCCCATCCCCCCTAGACCGCAAAGGGCAAACACGCAGTGCCCTTCGTTAAGTTTGCGTACCGGACGCAGATGTGCTTCAATATCGTCGAGAACATCCTCGCGACCAATAAAGCTATGATTCGGCTGATGTGGCGCTAGAATGTGGCAAGGGAGACGAATATTCATCTTCGTCTCAGACTTTGGGGCTCTTGGTTTTGGTAGGGGGGCAAAGTTTGTGGGCTTAGTTAGTTACATACGTAGAAAGGTAGGCATCGCCATACCACTAACTTACTAGAGTCCTCAGCAAAATCTTGACTTGAGTTGGAGTTTATTTTTAGGCTGGAAACGATGCTTTCCATGTAGATCTCAGGTTTGATGTCTTTGCCATCGTGGACGTCGAGGAGGCTATGCAGCTCTAACAACAGGGTTTCGTAGAAAGGATCTGTTCGATTCGGAAAGACACTGAGCTGAGTATGATCCAGGTCGATGGGTTTCACTGTCTCCTGGAAGCCAGGTAGAAACGCTGCTTCTTCTGGACAGAGCTGCAATGAGAAGTGGTAGTTAGTTATTGTAAGTAGTCTGCATGCTTCTATTGTTATTGCTGACAATTTGCGACTTCTGTCCACGAAACGGCCGCGATAAATAGACAGTTGCCTTTGTCTCGCAAAAGGTTCGTACTGGAAAGGGAAGGTAGAGCATTTTAAAATGCTCCATGATTTGTTTCGCTGCTTCCCATTCAGTGGGGGTATTCAAACTCTCTAGAACATCGTGCCGTCGCGTTTTCGTGAGAGAGAGTTCCACAGTAGCAGACCAAAGAAGACACCGCTCAAGGTCCTTCATGTGCTCGTCATGGATGCAGGCAATGAATAGGATGCCTGCTATACTGTCGAATATGTCGCGGAAGTCGGCACGGCGTTTCGCAATGAGTAATGCCTAGATAATTAGCTTCACTGCCCACCCAAGGAAGAGAAAAAAAAAAAGGCGCCGAAAACCTACGTGTTTCAAAATGAGTCCCCCAAAGCTGTGACAGATGAACAATATCGGGCGTTGCGACTGGTGCGGTTCCTCCCGCCGGAAACGTAGGTTGAATAGTAGGTCTTCTGCTTGCTCGATCATGGACGACAATGGTCGAACTGGGTCAGAAGCTTTGAGAAAATCGTACTTGAAAGCCATCATTCTCACAGCTGGGAAATGATGGCTTAATGAGTCTCGAAGCCATGACGATTGATCCTGATGTGTATGCGAGAGCCCTGCAATGTGGACGAGACTTGTGCTATTAGTATCCGTATCCGATTGGAACCTGTTTACTTACTCGACCAAAGGCTGCCGAACGCCATCGAAAACAATCGGTAGTGAAGGCATTGTAACTACCTAGTTACATGGGGCAGAGACACACTAAAGGGTAATCACGTGTGGCACATCGTAAGATACGTTGAACCTAGTGTTTTGGAACCTTTCCCATCAAGTCTTAGTGCAGAGATCACTTTATACGTCTTGTAAGAATGCGGGGTTGTTTGAGTATGCCTCAGGCATAGCCATGCGGCTTGCATTAAATCGCTATTTTATAAGTAAAACTATAAGTTAATAAAATTCTCCTAGAAGATTACTTTAATAATTAAATTCTAGTATTTTTATAATTTTAAAGCCTTTTTAGTTTTATAATTTAATTATTTATATTAATATTAATATTTGGTTAATTTGCTTTATAATTAAATAAAATTATATATATAATATTAATATTATATAAGCATAAAATCTAAAATAATATTAGGTTATATTAGGCTAAAAATAATAAAAAACTAAAAAAGTAAATTATCTTAATATAATTAATATTATATTATA